AAACTCAGGATAGGCAGATATGCATTTGCTGCAGCTATTTTTGTTACATGAACATAACATTGGCACATTTACACTGTTCTAGCTCTTGTAAGTGGAATGGGGTGGTTCATCATACATATGCCATTATTGCTGAAGCTTTATTGTGGAACTTGTATTGGTTGTATACTGCTGTTGCCTTGGAATCAGGCTAACTCCTAGAAGAAAATTAGAGTCTGGAATTCTTTGTGAGGAAGACAGAATTTTGAAGGACTTTGAAACTGCAATTGCATAAAGATTGAGGGATTGCTGAGCCAGTTTGTATGATCTGCCTTGGTTGTATCTCTTGTTTAACATGTAATTTATAGTTTATAAACAACTGCACTGTTTAATTAAACAGAAACTTAAATTGATTCTTTATTTTAGAGTATGGTTGGTTACCTAAGGTAATATGTTTGGCAGCATTTGTGGAGAAAAAGTAAAGTTCACGTTTCGGGTCCAGTGACCCTCCTTCAGAACTGAAGAAGGGTCAGTTGACCTGAAATGTTAACCTTGCTTTCTCTACAGATGCTGCCAGACCTGCTGAATTTTTACAGCAATTTCTGTTTTCCTTTGATTTCTGCTGTTATTTTTAATATGTAGTGTTTGTTTGACACTTGGAGAGTAGTAATTTGTTTCGTCTGAAATATGCAACTTTGTAGCTTGTAGTTTTCAGTAAATAACTGGGCTTTCATATTTCTCCTTTATAAAGGAAACAAAGTTAATGTGCCGACTGAGATTATAACATTTAAATTTATTTTCAAAGTGAGTTTATTAAACTAGCGCAGTGGATGTTGTATTTACAGGTTTTTAAATAAAGTTTGATAAGGTACAAAACATTATTCAGAAAGTGGAACCATGTGAGATTAAAGGGACTATATTGTGTCTATAATTGGCTCAGAGATCGGAGCTGGTGAATAATAAGAAAAAAAATATTGTGATGGGAATGAAGTCCACATGATGCTTTTACCTGGGAATATAGTTAAATGGCTTTGACTTCAGTGCAGGTGGAGAGATTGAGAAGTAAGATTTTTCTGCATGAAGCAGAGAAGGTTAAGGGTAGACCTCATGGAACTGTTCAAATTATCAATGGATTCGAAAGATCAATTAGGGTAAAATTGTTTTCTCTTATAAGTGGATCAGTAATGATAACTTGTAGATTAGCAAAAGAATTAGATGAATGGAGAAAACACCTGTTTTACACAGTGTTTAAGTCTGGAATGCCCTCCCTGGAAGGCTAGTGGACTCTTCATGGAAACTTCAAAAAGTCAATTGAAAAGTGATTTTAATAGAACAAATCTGCAGAGCAAAAGGCAAAAAAAATCCCTGAAGTATGGGATAAAAGTGAACAACTATTTCAAAGAATCAGCACAAATGCAATTGGTCAAATGTATCATCTGTGCTGTGATATTCTGTGAATTCAAAGCAGGCTAGTAACACAGTATTGGTCCTGGACTATTAGGCAGTGTGAATAAAATATGGTTCCATGGCCCATGTGGAATTTTAAATATTCAGATGTATGCTTAACAAAATTTGTTTCATGACTTTTAAGTTCATTGAATTCCTGTATATTTGAAGGATGCTAATCATCTGAAGAATGGAGACCCTGTTGATAATCACTCCACTTCACAACATGCTTGAAGTCTGCTAATGTAACTAATTATCTACCTGATAATGCAATAAACCACCAGGAACTGTGTTTTCAATGGTATTTTCAAACAATTTTCAACACACTCAAGTATTAGGAAAATTTCTCAGATGCTGAACATTTGATCATTTGTGGCATTTTCGTTTGCTAAAGTGTGCACAATATATTTCTTAAAGTTATTATACTGAAGTTTTATTTTTAAGTGAGCAGGTCGATATTTGGACAACAAGATCAAATATTACATTTATCTTCAGTTATTCTGATTAAAGTTGTGAGCTCTGTTCTCCTCAGAGAGAAAAAGACTGACAGGAGATTTGATGGAGGTTTTCAAACTCAAGAAGCGGTAGGGAGAAGTTTTCCTCCCTCAGAAGGAACAAGAACAAGAAGGCATAGATTTAAAGTGATGAATGAAAGAAGAAAGGGTTATGTGATTTAAAAAGAAGTTTTCAGATGGCAAGTAGTTAGTATATGGAATGCACTGCCTGGAAGTTTGATAGAGGGAAGTTCAATTGAGGCATTCAGAGGACATGGAATGATATACTATTTGGATTGAAATAGTGTGCAGAGGTATGTGGCAAAGCCGGAAATTGGCATTAGGTAGCTAATGCAGACCTGATAGGTGGACAGGCTACCTTCTACACCCTAATAATTGTGATTCTGTATTGAGTATGTCAATTAATCTTTGCTCATTAATAACATCCATCTCATTCACTTTTTATGGCAGTAAGAGGAGGTTACATTGGAGGTCTACTCTTAAACTTATATAATCTAAAACAGGAAAATGAGACTCACGTTTACGTACTACCTTGGGCCGTGCAACGTCCTTGCACAATCAGTCAGGTATTCTAGAAGTGTCATCACTGTTAGAGAAGATCTGATATTGGAATATGTTTACTTTGTTCATTATGCAGTACTGAGTATTCTTAATTTTATTCTCACAAATATCTTTTTAACTGGTCTAAACACATATCACTGCAAAGTGGTTTTATGCTACTCTCCATTTGTTCAGTTCATAAGTTTCCAGGCATCATTCATTGACAACATATTGACTTCCTGTGAAATTAACAATTTAAGCAGCGTTGACTTAGAAAATTTTTAAAAATTTTGCTCTGCAGTATGAAATTGCAACTCGCATTCGTGCGTCAGACCATGTTTGATTTTCTTGTTTCCAACCAAATTGAGCAAAACATTTTTGTTGGTAAAATTTAAGCAACTGCTACATTTGTAGGGCAACTTCAATGTCATGAGAAATCACACAGCTGCAGACCCCACATGAAGCTGAAGTTGAGGGAAAGATTCAGATAGGTGACAAATGCTATTAGAAATGTCATTTGAGGGTCAAAAAGTAGAAACTGAGTGAGAAGTTTGAGCTCTTTTTTTGCCAGGCTGTGATATCTCAACACCTTGTTATTCTTCTTAAAATCCTTAAGATAGTTCAGGTTAATGATGGAGCAGATGATGTGAAATCATAGAGTAATTACAGTGCAGATTATACAGTTTGGCCAATTGTCTGTGCTGGTTGTCTGCCAGAGCAACATGGTTCAGTTTTGGGGGGAAGCTGGCAACTGTTTGAGATCAGATTGGAGTCTCTTGACAAAAATTTTGTAATCTGTACATTGGAATGTGGACTTGAGTGGTTGGATGACAAGGAATTTTAAACGAAATATTGTGGATGGTAGATACCTCGATAAATTTTGGATAGGGTGAAGTTCAAGGCTAATAATATGGCTAATGATGAATACCTCAAGCCTGGCAGTGACAAAGACATGGTGAAGATAAAGAACTTGGAAAACTCTCAAGACATCCATAGTGATCATAGCCAATGTAGGAAAATGTAATAGCCAATTTTCACACATTAAGGTCCCACAAGTAGCAACTAACTAAATAATGAGATCTCTTTAAATAATGTTGATGGAGAGGTTTAAATGCTGTCCAAGATGCTCGGAGAACCTGTTGACTTAAGAATGGCACTGTGAGATCTGTTCACATCTACCTTTGGGGCTGGTGAAACTGATTTAAAGTGTCATTAATAGCTATAATTACACTTGGAGTTGAACTTTGTGAAATAGAAACTGTAGAACATCTCTTCTGTTGATCCTGAAAGATGTTCTATTTAGACAAAAAAATGTATTTACAAAGAATGCCTTTTGAAGGCCTGTGTTTTATTATTTTCCTGCAGGTTTTAAAATACTTCAATAAGCAAGTGACCCATGTAGTATTCAAGGATGGACATGAAAGTGTTTGGAAAAAGGCCAAAAAAACTGGTGTAAAATTGGTTTCTGTACTGTGGGTAGAAAGGTATGCACATTTTAATATTGTTCTTTCTTAAAAACCACTGTTTTGCAAGTCAGGCTACGCTTAACATCCATTACACATACAATTCTTGTAAGGTTATAATGTGAATTATGTATTAGATTCTAATGTTTTAATAGTAACTGATGTTAAACTAACTGTGATTTTTTTTTTTGTTTGTTTCCTTTCGTTTCTAATTAAAGTTGTTAGATTAGCCATTTTCCAATCCTCAGGGACTTTTCCAGAATCCAAAGATTCCTGGAAGATTACCAGCAGTGCATTCACTTCTATGTAGCTAATTTAATATCCTAATATGCATCCCATCAGATACAGGGGACTTTTCAGTTTTTAGCCCATTAATTTTCCGAATACTTTTTCATGAGTGATTGTTATATTTGTTTTCTCTCCTCCTTTTGCCCTTGAATATTTAATCATATTAGAGTCTTCTACTCTGTAGACTGATGCAACGTGTTTTAATGTAATTCGTCTGCTATTTCCTTGTTCCCCATTTTTTTTTTTCCCGGCTCTCAGGGGCCTGCGTCCACTTGGGATTCTCTCTTCCTTTTTATACATTTAAATAAGCTCTTGCTTTCTGTCTTGATATTATTTACAAGTTTACCCTCAGAGTTTAATTTCTCCCATTTTTTGATCATCCTTTGATTTTTAAAAACTTTCCAAATCCCTTGTCTTACCATTAACCTTTGCCACATTGTATGTTTTTTTTTGACTTTCAATTGATGCTATCCTCAATTCCCCGGTTAACCATGATTGGCTTATCTCTTTCCTATATTGGTAACTGTTGAAATTTGGATCAAATTAGTTAGATTACTTCAGTTGAGGGTTATGAGGAAAAGATAGGAAAGTGGACTTAAGGATTATCAGATCAGCCTTGATCTTGTTGAATGTTGGAAGAGTCAGTAGGCTGAATGGACTGTTCTTGCTCCTACATCTTGTGGCCTAACACTATTGTGAGGGTTAGAAGATACAAAATTCTAAAAACCTTTTGTCTATTTTCATTGTACAGACTATTTTAATTTTCTAAAAGTAGGATTTTTTCAGAACTTGATATTTATCCATTTACATTGGAACAAGCTTCATATAACACAATCTGTTAAATGGTTTCTGGGTGTTGCACCTGATATTTTTATAATATTTAGCACCGTTTTAAGACGTTTCATGCATCTTCGTCATACAGTCATACAGCACGGAAACAGATGCTTCGGTCCAACCAGTCCATGCTGGACGTTATCCCAAACTAAAACTAGTCGCTCTTGCCTGCTCTTGGACTATCTCCCTCCAAACATTTCCCATTCATGTACTTATCCAAATATCTTTTAAATGTTGTAATTGTACCTGCAGCAACCACTGCGTCAGGAAGTTCATTCCACACGCGAACTACCCGCTGTGTAAAAAATGAGCTCTTCATGTCTTTTTTAAATGACTCTCCTCTCACCTTAAAAATGTGCCCCCTAGTCTTGAAATCCCCCCTCCTAGCAAAAAGACAACTACCATTAACTCTATCTGTACCCTTTATTATTTTATAAACTTCTATAACGTCGCCTCTCAACCTCCTATACTCCAGCCTATCCACCCTTTCTTTATTACTCGAACCTTCCATACCCTGAAACATTCTGGTAAATCTCTTCTGAACCCTCTCCACCTTAATAATAGCCTTCCGATAATTGGGCGACCAGAACTAGACACAGTTTTCCAGTACAACTTCAGTATGACTTCCCAACTCCTTTACTTAAAGCACTGAGCAATGAAGGCAAGCATGCCAAACATCTCATTAACCACCCGTCTTGTGGCTTGTGAAATTCTTTCTTGCAGTGGATTTTTTTTCAGTCAAACTAGAGCTTGCTTGATCCATCACGTCTGTGTTTTGATAATTTTATCTACATGGAGCTTCGGAGGCTGAGGGGTGACCTTATAGAGGTTTATAAAATCATGAGGGACGTGGAAAGGATGAATAGCCAAGATATTTTCCTATATTTTGGGAGTCCAAATTTAGAGGGCATAGATTTAAGGAGTGAGAGGAAAGATTTAAAAAGGACCTGAGGGGTAACTTCTGCACACAGGATGGTGCGTGTGTGGAACGAGCTGCCAGAGGAAGTGGTGGAAGTGGTACAATTACAATGTTTAAAAGGCATCTGGATAGTAAATGAATAGGAAGGATTTAGAGGGATATGGGCCAAATGCTGGTAAGTGGGACAGTGCTAGATTGAGATTTCTGATTGGTGTGTATGAGTTGGACCAAAGGGTCTGTTTCCTTACTATAAGACTCTGTGACTCCATAACTCAAATTAAAACAAGAAATCTTTCAGGGGGTGAAAGAAGGATAGCAGCTAGGTGAAAATTTCAATTTACTGTGACCTGCTTTTGTAATTCAAATCAAGCTACATATGCTTCAACCTGAGTCAAAGTGTGTGTTTGGGGAAACTCAGTAAGATCGATCTTTAAGCGGGTTAAAACTGGGTGTTTATCATTCAGTTGCTGATGAACAGTTAGGTCCTTAACCTTGAAGTCGTTTTTTTAATGCCACTTATAAAAATCTTAAAAGGTAAACCAGTAACAAATTGTTGCAGTGCTACTTCAGACATTTGGTTGAAATACACAAGAGCAAATAATATACAGTTAGGTTTCTTAACAGATGTTAACATTACATAACTTGTATTTAAGGTGTATGGCAACGTGTACCCATGTTGATGAATCCTTATTTCCTGCCGTGAATGATAGTAACTCTTTTCCTGAAAATAAAAGAACAGTAAGTATTATGCGCAATGCAGTTATTTATTTCAGCACTTATTATAAAACAAGTTTTCTGTTCGAATGCACCAAGTATGGTCTACATATGTTTTTACATTTAGCTTTAGTCTTCTCTTTGGAGTAAAATCTTCATTTTAAAATGTATTGTGTTCCTGAAAATTGCAATTTTCAAGTGGAACAATTTTAAGTAAATCGGATTTTCTTGTTAAAACAAATGTAGAAGCTGTAGTTAGGTTTTGTATTTTCTCAACATTAAAAATGCATTAAAACATTACACTCTGGTTGAAATACTTTACATCGCTAAATTTCAATATTGGTTGTCATTTCTTACTGAGGTATCACGCTGGAAATCAAGTACCTCTATGCCCGAGTTGTCATAAAAGTTAAAGCTTTTAAAAAGTATGCACAATTTCCAAATTTGCCTCGATTTAAACCCAGATAGAGAGAAAACATGAACCAAAATACTATTTGTTCGAAGCATTTAGACTTTAGCTACTGAAAAACAAGTATGAGCCATTGACATAGTTCTACTAATTAATTCTCCTTATAAACCCCCTTAACACATGCACACAGATGTAGACAGGACAATATATATGGTGTTATAGATGTTTAGGAAATACTGGGAAAGTAGTTCAGTGGTTCCTGTTTACAGGGTTGTTGAGATGGTTTTTGTGTTGGTGAGCATGCTGCTTCTCAGTCTTCCTTCCGCAGAGGCTTTCACTGGTTTCCAGGAGGCATAGAGGACCAATTGATGACACTTAAAGGTCTCTGACTTATTAGTCAAAACTCAGAGCAACTGTTGAAGGAAAGATAAACTGCTTTTCTTCAGGCTTAACAGAGAGAACTCCTGAGCAGATAGAGCTTTGAAGGCTTCTCTCTATCTTGCTCCCAATCCTAGGCTGACCATTTATCTGTCGGCCAATTACATAGTTGTTGGCAGGCAGAATGCTTCTATCATTCATAACACGTCACTAGTTCATAGACCAATCTGCTTTGTGTTTTCAACCAAAGCTCGATTTGTGCACTTCCTTCTGCTCTGATCATCTACAAACTACAATTATTTTAATCAAATCCCTACAGTGTGGAAACGGGCCATTCGGCCTAACAAGTCCATACCAGCTCCTTGAAGAGCATCCCACCCAGACTCAACCCCCTACCCATCCCTGTAACCCTGCATTTCCCATGGCCAATCCACCTCACCTGCACATCTTTGGACTGAGGGAGGAAACTAGTGCACCCAGAGGAAACTCACACCAACACGGAGAATGTGCAGTCTCCACGTAGACAGTTGCCCGAGGCTGGAATTGAACCCAGGTTCCTTGCACTGTAAGGCAGCAGTGCTAACCACTGAACCACTCTGCCACCCCTGACTTCTTGAGTTACCATCTGCGTAAATGACACTTACAATGAATGTCAGGTTACATGCTTTTCAAAGCTTGCAGTACCCTCTTGCTGATTCTATGACTTATGAATTCTGCTGCCCCCAGACTTGTCGTCTTTCCGATCCTTCCTCTTGCTGAGCCGCCCACTTCTTAACTTTGCTGCTCACTGCTTCCCTCTCCTGATCCTTGCTGTTGGTGAGAGAGTGCTGTCAGTGCAAGGACCCTGGGATACAACTGTAGTGAGTGAATTATAACAGCCCCAGCCTGGCCCCTTTGCATAATCAGGGCCCACACTTCAACAACCCTGAAGTTTTGGGTTTGGATCAGATCCGAACCGAAGGCCTTGCTAGAACAGGAATGTAGGTTCCAAAGCCAGAGCTCTGAGGCTGTGCAAGTGTGTTCCAATGCTCAAGTGCCAGGCTAGGATTGTCATAGTATTGTCCCCCATAACCCTAACCCTATTCTAGTAACAATCCCAGAGTCCTAGCATACTGCAGCTCCCTCATTCACAACTAGGGTTCAGAAGAGGAAAGCAGAGAGTGGAAGGTTCAGTGAAAGGAAGATTTGGTGAGAGAGGGTGATTTGGGGAGTGGGAGAAGCCACAAATTGGAAGATCAGCGAGTGATGGAATAATACGCGGGTGAGGCAACAAAATGTGTTTGGCAGCTTGATGGATTAGGTAACGACAGAGCAGACTGCAAATTGGCACCAATTTGGTCTTACTGTCAGTGATAGTGGCACAAAATGACATCAACCAAATATCACTGCTCGAAGTTAGAGTACAGGCCCTATTAACAGAATAACATTGCAACAAAAGAACATAAAACAGGGCATATTAAATGGGGATGTGCTGTATATTAACTTGGAGAGAAAACTGGATCCTGAGTGTGTATCCTGAGCATCATGATATCACCAGTTTCAGTGAGATGCTGCAAAAGCCACTGTCTTTTCTGTTACAGTCAGACATAATGTTACATGAAAGTGCATGCTTTTCAATTGTATTAGCATTATCTACTGAAAGTGAGACTGAGAGGTATAAACAATTTCTTTTTAAACGGGTAGCTACCTTCAGGTGCACCATACTTGGTGGTCACTATGAATAACAAATGAAGGGTAGAAAGACAAATTTGGAAGTTTAGAAAAGATTTGGAGCTCATTGTATTCTTCTTGTAAGCTGATTGGTAAATTTGTCAGTACAGATGTAACCTTTGTAATTTTCTGCTGTTGCTTTTGTAACACATTTTCTTAGGTCAACTGATGGAATATCAGTGATTTGGCCCTTTTTAGGATGAAGTAGAGCACTCTGCCTGTCATTCATACCCATCCCAATCAAAGATGAATCGCACTGCATTGGGGATACAATTCCTCATGACCTTCAGAGACTTCTTGGAAAAATGCTTTGATTTTGATATGAATATTTATACTTGCTTTGTGTTAGAAAAAGCAAAATAAATTGCAAAATTAATCATAATGAATGACTGACTAAATTTGGTGTGTATTTTTGAGAACGACCTCTCCTTCGAATTGTCAGTCTTCTGCAATCAGAATCAAGTGTTGCATGCAGGTGACTTGTGCTTAGAAAGTTGGATAATTTGGTTTTGACATGCAAATGTCGTTTAGTCGTCTTTTTATTTTTGTATGTAGTGTTCATTTTTTAATAATTCTTATTATTATTCCTTTGTCATCACTTGGAATGCAAGTAGCCGTGTGCACTAAACATAATTATGACTAGATCCAAGGTGAGGTTTACCAATATAGGGTTTCAGATTGGACATCCCAAAATTTTAAGCCTTCGGGTGAGAAGGGATACACTGGCTTTCCTTTGTTCACCAACCTTCTCATTTGGTTGTAGCAAACTTAATATTAGAAAGGATTCTTTCCCTTACTTCGAAACCAAAACAAACTGTTTTAAAAGGAACTGTTTTAACCAGGTTTTCTTGAGATAACAAAAAGGAGAGTTTGTGAAATACTGACTGTAAGAAGAAATACTAATACAATGCATGCACACTGATTAGAAATGAGTCCAAAAAATCAAAAGTTAGAAAACGATGCAAACTGAATTGTTTGCGAAGAGTAGATGCTTGAACATTCCGACCATTGCAGTGGAGTTCACTGGTAACTATAATGTTGGTAGGTCAACATTTAGTTTCATGATCTTAAGTTTGGCAGCTTGGTTGAGTTGCTGTAGTCTTGATGCCTTTGAACCGTGATTAAATTTCATCATTCAGGGTAAGAGAGCCTTTTGTTGACCTCTTCCCTTTTTAACTGGTACTTGACTGCTTTGAGTTGGATAGGGGCTTTACTTGCAACCTCGGTGTAACTAAGGGATAGACCTTTGACTGGCAGTCACGGCATGCTAACATTCAATCCAAGGCTGGTGCTTGCAAGAGATGATACAGAGTTTTGAATATGTACCAATGCGTTGCATACCCTCCGAAAAGTATATGACTTTTAGATGCACCAAACAGTTTTTTTTTGTGTAAAAGGCAGGTCATGTTTGACTAATTTAATCCAAATCTATGCAAAAATTAGTTTGTGCAGTGTTCGCAATGGGTGGGATAATTAAGACTTCAAAAAATTCATGATAAAATGTCACATGGAAGATCTGTTATTAAGCTCAAGGCTCTCAGTATTAAAAATTAAGAGGCACGATGATGAATAAATAAATAACTGCAATGGGAATGAGTAGCAATTAGATGTGTGAAACAAGTTAGAAACTTTCAGGACAGCGTGAGGACGATGGAATTTTGCAAGAATTTACCAAGTCTGAGTAGTGTAGAAAGTTTTGCCAGGTTGTGCCTCGGTTGTCAGCACTGTACTTGCAGTTTTGATGTAGTTAAATTGTTATGTAATTCTTGCATCCATGAACTTTTCAGCATCGATGTATGAAACCCAGGGATTTCATAGAAAAGACACCAGAGAATGACAAAAGACTGCAGAGAAAATTAGATCAAATGATTCAGAATCTAGATTTGAAGAAAACTACTGGTGAGCTTTTAACATTGAATAATACTGCGCAATTTCGCAATATATTTGTATCTTGATATGCTGTTTATTTTGTGAGACCATCTCCTAAATTATGTTGCCACAAATTCATTTTCTTGGGTTGACCTGAAAACCCAATAGACTTTACCATTTTGATGTGATTAAGTTAATCTATAATTGTGTTCTTTCATTTGCTGAAATTTACCATTTGGATGCAGTTTTCAAGTCATTAGAGGGAATTAAATCATGTGACCCTGTTCTAAAACAGTAGTGGATTATTGGAAACCAAGAAAACAAATGTGCTGGACTCCTGAAATTAAAATTTGTATATATTAGTTGATTTTCTGTGGAATTGCACACAGAGTGGTGACCAAGTGTAGTCATCAGGTCAAACCCAGTTAAGGGGCAGGGAAGTAATAAGACCCATAACTCAGGAAGGAGAGGAGAACACGGTAGGATGGCAAGGGCAAAAGGGAGTACAGAAAAGCCAGAAGTGGTGCACAAAAGCAAAAAGTGGTTCAATTTTGCATTGCTCCAGTAAATAATTCATTTAAGCAAGATGGGTCAAATGCCTCCAACTGTCCTGTATACTGTGTTCAACTGTTTACAGCTGTTCTTGATATCACAAGGCATGATAACTGAGTCTTGAGGCTGTATAAGCTGAAAATTTCAAAAGAAGAAAATTTCTTCCTAAGCAGTCTGGAATTCCATGAAAATGTCAATAATACAACTGAATTATTTTGTACCCTTATTATTTCTCATGGTCTTAAATTTTTACTATATTTTATTTTAAACAAATTTTCCCCCAAAGGAGCTGAATTGCCTTTACTCTCATTTGATGAGGATGCTACAGATCTAAGTATATCCAAAATGAAAAGGGTTCCCCACAATCATTTCTGCAAAATGGAAGAAAGATTGAAGGAAATGAAAGAAAAGAGAGAGAACCTTTCTCCCACAGGTACGTTCTAATGCTGTGCAATTCAACTATGTTTTGTAGAACTGAGAAGCAGCATTCTCACCAATTTTTTTTCTTCTGCGTCGACGTCTAAGGTCCATGCATGGCAGCAGTTTCTGAAACGAGAAGTCAATGCTGCGAATGATGTTGGCACACTGAACATTGCACTGGCACACATCCAGCTGTGCAGTTAGGGGGAATATTTCTGAGAAGTCATTTACTAAAATGTAGTTAGCTGAACCAATATTATTTAGTTGTTTTCTGATCATATTGTGACAGGTGCATATTATTAAAAAACTATTATGGCATGGAATTACTTATGGGAACTTAATCTTACTAATTCATTATGTTAACTGTATAATTCTCCAAATCTATTGTAAACTATTGTTGCACCTTAATTCAGCAGATTGTGGAGAGAATCCATTTCTTTCTCCCAGCATCTGTACAATTCTATACAAACAATGACAACAATTTGATTTATGTAGAACCTTAATCTTAAAAAAAAAAAGTCTTATGATACTTAAACGAAGTGATTCATACTGTAAACTTTACCAAAGTTATGCCCAAGTCCACTTTCCACCAGTCCACAGCTGGGATATTGGTCCTGTAAGTGAACTGAGTAATGCCACCCAAGATTGTTTGGGTGTGATTGAGTCTTCTAGTTTTTATGCAATCAGCACAAATTATAGCTATTCAAACAGTTCCAAACATTAGGATTTTCCATGCATTTTCAGCACCTTGGACTCATTTCCTAGAAGCATTAAAATACCAAATTGGTTCTTGCTAAATTGTGTATTCACAGCTGACTGGCTATGGGAGATCTATAGCTTGTAGGTACTTATGTATAGTTTCTGCTAAATTTTGTGCTTGAATAACTTTATCTAAGTTGAAGGTTTATGTTCCATTATACTGTGGTGTAATTTGTTACTACTTTAAAGCATAAGAAGCAGGCTGGGACATTATCAATAGCTGGAGACAGTGTGTGTTTGGACTAGGGTGCCAGTTGCAATGATCAAACAAAATGATTTCAACTGCTGTTTTTAGAACTGAGAGTATAATTCATTTTAAAAGTGCAGCAATGTGTGCTTTTCTAGAGCAAACTAGATTGACTATTTTACAGGGTTGAGCCATTTGAGTTGAGGACAATGTTTTCTCGAGATTCTTGCCGCTGATTATGATTTATCAGAACAGAGTTATAACACTCAAATGCTGCATAGGTCCTGTGCAGACAGTTGTCCTTCCCCAATCTCACTTACTAATTCCACTTATGATTTTTCACGAAATTCCTTTCATTTCAGCATGTAGCACAGTGGCAGATTGTTCTGTGCTACAAATGATTTTGGAAAGGATCGGTTATACAAAATCCTAATCTCAGTTTATGATTGGTAATCCAAGATGACAGACACCTGTAACAGAAGGTAGCTTGACGTGAATTATACTTTTCATCATTGTGTCCCAATTAATTGTACAGATTTCCAAAGAACAATTAGTTGTTTTATTTGTGGATAAGATACAGAAGAGTTTAAAGATGAAAAGAGGAAATAAAACTAGTAATGCTCATCCTCAGAATCTGTTTTAATTAAGAACATAAGAACTAGGAGCAGGAGTAGGCCGTCTGGCCCTTCGAGCCTGCTCCGCCATTCAATAAGATCGTGGCTGATCTTTTCGTGGACTCAGATCCACTTATCCGCATTCTCACCGTATCCCTTAATTCCTTTATTGTTCAAAAAAATCTACCTTTTTTTAAAAAACGTTTACTGAAGTAGCGTCAACTACTTCACTGGGCAAGGAATTCCATAGATTAACAACCCTCTGGGTGAAGAAATTCCTTCTCAATTCAGTCCTGGATCTGCTCCCTCTAATCTTGAGGCTATGCCCTCTTGTCCTAGCTTCACCTGCCAGTGGAAACATCCTCTCTACTTCTATCTTATCTATTCCCTTCATAATTTTATACGTTTCTGTAAGATCCCCCCTCAATCTTCTGAACTCCAATGAATATAATCCCAATCTTCTCAGTCTCTCCTCATAAGCCAACCCCCTCAACTCCGGAATCAACCTAGTGAACCTCCTTTGCACCCCTTCCAGTGCCAATACATCCTTTCTCAAGTAAGGAGACCAAAACTGCACACAGTACTCCAGGTGTGGCCTCACCAGCACCTTGTACAGCTGCACCGTAACCTTTCTGCTTTCAGTTTCAATCCCTTTAGCAATGAAGGACAAAATTCCATTTGCCTTCCTAATTACTTGTTGTACCTGCAGACCGACCTTCTGAGATTCATGCACAAGGACACGCAGGTCCCTCTGCATAGCAGCATGCTGCAACTTTTTACCATTCAAGTAATAATCCTTTTTACTATTAATCCTACCAAAATGTATGACTTCACATTTATTTACATTGTATTCCATCTGCTAGACCTTTGCCCACTCACTCAATGTATCTATGTTCCTCTGCAAAGTTTCACAGTCCTCTGCACACTTTGCTCTGCCACTCATCTTAGTGTCATTTGTATGGAGGTTTGGAATAAAAATGGGCCATTGATGCAATCATTCTTGCGCAGTTCAACAGATGAACAAATTTGCTCCTTGCTGTCTTTTCCATCTGATACTATTGATCTTTCTCAACAAAAAGCTGAACTTCAGACCGTTGTTTCTTAAGTCCGTAATCTTAAGAAAAGCGACTCCTGGATCCTGATTGGTCTTTTAAAATGTAACTGTTGTACTGTAGGTAATGTACCTAATTTATACAAAGTGGCAATGTGGTAATGATGAGAACTAGAATGTTAGCTTTGAACTTTTTTTATTCGCTCGTAGGATGTGGGTGTCACTGGCTGACCAGCATTTATTGCTCGTCATGAGTTATCCTTGAGAAGGTGGTGGTGAGCTGTCTTCTTGAACCCCTGCAGTCTGTGTTGTCGGTAGACCCACAATGCCCTTAGGGAGGGAATTCTAGGCTTTTGACCCAAAGACAGTGAATTGATATATTTCCAAGTCAGGATAGTGAGTGGCTTGGAGGGGAACGTGCAGATGGAAGTTGTCGTGGATTTGGAAGGTGTTGTCTAAGGATCTTTAGTGAATTTCTCTAGTGCATCTTTTAGATAATACATAGCTGCTACGGTGCCTCGGTGGGGAAAGAGTGGATGTTTGTGGATTTGGTGCCAGGCAAGTGGGGAGTGTTCCATCACATTCCTGATTGGTGCCTTGTAGAATGTGGACAGGTGTTGGGAGTCAGGTGATAAGTTACTCGCTGCAGTGTTCCTAGCCTCTGACCTGCTTTTCTAACCACTGTTGTTATGTGGCATGGCCAATTGAACTTTTAGTTGATAGTAACCTCCAGGATGATGATGTTGGGAGTTCAGCAATAGTAACACCATTGAGTGTCAAGGGGTGGTGGTGTGATAGTCTTTGCCTGGCATTTGTGTGGTGTGAATGTTACTTGCCAGTTGTCAGCCCAAGCCTGGATTTGGTCCAGGTCTTGTTGTATTTGATCGTAGACTGCTTCGGGATCTGAGGAGTTATGCATGATGCTGAACGTTGTGCAGTCATTGGCAAACATCCCCACTTCTGACCCTATGATGGAGGGGAGGTCATTGATGAAGCAGCTGAAGATGGTTGTGCCAAGGAAGCCAACCTGAGGAACTCCTGCAGAGATGCCCTGGAGCTGAGATGACTGACCTCTAATAACCATGATAATCTTCCTGTGTGGCTGCAACCATTGGAGGGTTTGCCTCCTGATTTCTATTGATTCCAGTTTTGCTAGGGCTGCTTGATGCCATACTTGATCAAATGCGCCCTTGATGTCACGCTCATGCTATCTCTGAAATTCAGCATGTTTGTCCATGTTTGAACCAAGGGTGGAATCAGGTCAGGAGCAGTGTGGCCCTGGCAGAACACAAACTGGGCATCAGCGAACAGGTTATTGCTGAGCAAATGCTGCCTGATAGCACTATTCTTCCATCACTTCATTGATGATTGAGAATAGACTGATGGGGTGGATTTGTACTGCTTTTTGTGTATAGGAAATAGCTGGAAATTTTTCCTCCATCTGATAACTGTACTGGAACAGCTTGGCTAGGGGAGTGGCATGTTCTGGAGCATGTCTTCAGTACTATTGTCAGAATGTTGTCAGGGCCCATAGCCTTTGTAATATCCAATGCATCCAATTGTTTATTGATATCACCTGGAGCGAGTCAAATAGGTGGTGCCGGGGTTCACTGGAGGAGGTTGTGATAGATCATCCAGTAGACACTTCTGGCTGATGATTGTTGCGAATGCTTCAACCTTGTCTTGTGCATTAGGCTGATGTGTTATGCTCTTCTGTCATTGAGGTTGGGGATATTTGTAGGGCCTCCTCTAGTGAGCTTATAATTGTCCACCACCAGTCATAACTGGATGGATCAGGACTACAGAGCTTAGATTTGATCTGCTGGTTGTTGGGTCACTTAGCTCTGTATCACTTGCTGCTATTGCTGTTTGGCATGCAAGTAGTCCTGTTTGGTAGCTTCACCAGGTTGATACTCATTTTTAGGTATGCCTGAGGCTGCTCACGGCACACCCTCTTGCATTCTCCATTAAACCATTAAACTTGAAGCTGAGTGTGTGAAGTGAGCCTTGAATCCACACCTTCTGACTCAGGGTCGAGTGGGAGTGTTTGTTTTGTAATATTAACTATGAGCTAAACATTGATCAGGATTCTGAAAGCAGATAGCTTTTTTTTTAAAACGTTAATGTGGAGTGTGGTATAGGTGTTTTATAGATGGTCTTTTTGCTTGTGTGATGCACGCCTGCACTATTGTTCTTCACTTTACGTATTAACACATTGATCTCTTGAACTCCCAAAGATTTTGGGGCTGACATAGTGCACTTGTACAGAATTTGCTATTAAGCAGTTTCTCACCAAAATACATTGCTCAGTCTCTACTATTGTTAATTGCTCAACCTCTGACTTGATTTTCATTTATTCACTATCTTTTCAAGACTGTGCCCTCCTACCTGTTCTGTTCTTCCATGTACAGATATTGCGCAATCCTAACCATGCTGATGAATCCTTCGTTTTTCAGTGATTTCTTTCAGATTTCACTTCTTCAATTCTATCACTTCTATTGAGTGCAATGACTACATTTTAATTTTCATGCTATTAAAGAAAAATCGCCTTGAAAGATAATGGAATTTTTTTGTTTTTGTTTCAAGCCCAATCACAGTTACTGCTATTCATCTTTGTTTAGTCTACCTGCGTTCATCAATTGTCTTCATGATCTGCTCTGGCACCATTGTTAAAACTCTTTCTACAAAGCTGTTGAGGCCAGATCAATTGAAAATTAAAAATCCCAGACTGATCATTGTTAAGGAAGGTAGTAAGGATTACAGAAGCAAACTGGATAGATGGAGATAGCGCTCAGTTCGGACCAGGTTGAAAAAAGAGGCTGAGTCCTTGCTCTTTTTGTCATCGGCTCATCTTTTCCGGTGTCTGAAATATTTTGTAACATGTTGCCTTCCTCTGACAATATATATGTATATAAATATACTATATTATGGAACATAGATTTTAGAGTATAAGAAAAGTAGATTTGTGATTTTGGTTCTGTGAAGGTTTTTTTTTATTGAGATCAGAAAGTGATTTGTTACATGGATTAGCTACATAAAACCCATGCTCGCTTAGAAATTAAGTGAATTCCCTTGGATGCCAATGGTGTTAATTGACGAGCTGTTTACTAAGTTGACCTTTTAAGACAGAAAGAAAAGGACTGGGGGCATCAGTAGTCAGATTTCAGTTCAGAACATTTTTGCCTTAACAAAGGCAGATTAGTTTGTGAAGTCGTCAAGGTGAGAGATTTTGCACAGAAGTTTTTAAGGTGTCAAAATTGAAAGGAGGGTTAGACTATCAGAACTGGAAAAGAACATTTCTCGGTTCGTGAGAATGAGGAAGAAGTTTTCTGGGCTTTCAGTACTGAAAAGGACTCCAGGATTCCCGAACGGGAAAGACTAGAAAGAATCAGTTATATAACAAATTAAATAGTAATGACAGGAGGCAGATTTGACTGCGAATGAATAGCTATAAAGAATAGTCCCAGGAAAGAGGTTGAAACTTGATTTTGTTTATGCTAAAATCTTTCTAAATTCTCATTTTTATACGTAGTTTTTTTTAAAACTCTAATAAATTTGTATTCTTCTGTTAAAGAACATTGGCAGCCTCGTGGAATGTGTTCAGTGACTAAGCAACATGGAAACCAAAAGAAAAAACTAAACTTAAGATCGATCAAGCCAAGTTTCACCCTGGAATCTGACCATCAGCTGGGATCATAACGCTGTGATCTTGCTGGATTGATTTTAGTATATTTTATCTCAATCTTCCATGTCTTGGTTTGAATTAATTTGGGAGTCTCTTCACAAAGCATTACTTGAAACCATCAGTTTACTATAAAAATAATAAGGCATAGAATGGTTGCTGCTCAAAAGGAGGTCATTTAGCCCCTCATGTCCATGCTGTCTGCCGGCAAGAATGACTTGGCAACTCCCCTGTGTTTTCTACGTAGTCTTGCAACTGTCTTTCTCTTTAGATGGTTATCCAATTCTGTTGATGTGTGTTTCGTCTGTTATCATTTCAGCTTCCCAAATGTCTCAATCAACAATATCAGGTTCTGCTGCCTCTCTTTGCCAGCCATCCCTTGGGGAATCTCCATCAGTAACACCGAAAGGATTTGCAGGTGAGTTAATTATAAGCACAAAAACTCCTATAAGTATGTGAAGAGAAAAAGATTAGAAACGACAAATGTATGTCACTTACAATCAGAAGCCAGGCAAATTACAATGGACTGTTTTAAAAAAAAGGCAGAAGAATTGAACACACATACTTTGGTTCTGTCTTCATAAAACAGGGTACACCTGATTTCACAAACTTTAGGGAATCTTAAAGAGTTTAATGAGAGGGCGAAATTGAAAGAAATCAGTGTCAGTTCCAAAACAAAGTGCTGAGGAAATTAATGGTATTGAAGGGTAACAAATCTCCAGGGGCTGTTAATCTATATCCCATAGTGTGTAAGGCTTTAGAAACTTTAGACGCATTGGTGATCATCTTCCAAAATGGAAATGGCATCTTGGCCTTCATAGCGACAGGCTTATGTACAGGAGCAGGGTTGTCTTGCTGCTCTTGGAGTATTGGGTGCAGTCTCCTTATCTGAGGAGGAATGTTCTGGCTATGGAGGGAGTGCAGCAAATGTTTACCAATGATATATAAAGAGAAATCGGATCACTTAGGACCAAATCCACTGGAGTTTGGAAGGATGAGGGGGGGGAATCTCATAGACGATTATAAAATACTATAAAACTGCAAGAAGGATGTTCCTGACGTCTGGGGAGTCCAGAACAAGGAGTCACAGTCTGAAGATCTATGGAAAGCCATTTGGGACTGAGATGAGGAGAAATTCCTTCACCCAAATAGTAGTGAACCTGTGCAATTCTCTGCCTCAAAGCATTTGAAGCCAAAATATTGATTATTTTCAAGGAAGAGTTCAGTATAGTTCTTGGGGCTAAAGGGATCAAAGAATATGGCAAGAATGTGGGAAAAGGGTACAGTTAGATGATCAGTCATTATCATACTGAATGGTGGAGCAGGCTGAAATAGCCCAGTGGCCTATTTCTGTTCTTGTTTTCAAAGTTTCTAAAATTCTATAGACTCTTGAGCAAATTGTGTAGATGGAGGGTGGCAAACGTAATCAGACTATTTAAAAAGAGAGGGAGGAAACAGAATTGTAGACCTGTTAGGCAGACATCAGTAATGGGAAAAGTTCTAGAGTCAATTAGAAAAGACTTGATGAGGGAGCCATATTTCCAAGGTTGTTGTTGACACTATTATAAAGCGGAGGTAGGCCACCGCCACCCCCTCCGAGAAGTCACACCTGGCATATTTTCCGTGTCACAATAAAAATTAAAGTGTGGCCACACCCTGTATAATTTTCACCATTATTTACCTCAATTACCTCTGATACATTTTTTATGTGCAGTGTGTCATTTCTATTCTAAGGATTGCCGCATTTTAAAATTTCTCTTTGTCTGTTTTTGCCCTAACCAATATCACTGCTTCCTCCTCCTTTACTATTACATAACTAAAATGCTTTTCTACAGCAAAAATGAATGCAAAGATCTAACTTAGTACCTTAGCTGTGTGCTCTGATTAATAAAAATTCCTTTTAATACAGCTTATTCATGTAGCTATTCTTTTAAGTCTAGGTCAGCTTGTTTCAGAAGCTGAAGCAAAGATGAACCAGTGTTCAAGATTTGCCGTTCTCTATCCGAACTGCCCTGCATAGTTGTGGAGTATAGGGACATTGATTACTTGTAATTGTTCTTTTCTCAACATTATGTCAACTAAGACTGCAGTTAATTTTAAGTGAGTTAGTAAGTTTATGATAGCTTGAATGTGAGCAGCATGTGTGAAATTTAGCCAGTACATAAAATAGGCACTACATTGTATCTAAAGGCTTGTAAAGTCTCAAATGCATCAGGTGAGTCCAGAATTTCTGTTTTGGCTTCCTCTGCACAAGGCTATTGTCACTTTTTAGAATTAACTATTCTGCATTGGCCCAATGTCGCTTTGGATCCATTCATAGTTTACCGTAGTTCTGTTTTCCTACTTTCTCTTGGGTTAACTTTATACAGTAAAACATACAGTAATCATGCTTTCCTAATTTTATTTGTATACTTTTATGGTGTAACTTAGTGTAATAGCAATATTCTTTATTGCAGAAGATCAAATAATTGGCTCAGAAGATACATCAACTAATGATCCTCGCGGAAGTTCTGCTAACAAAAGCAAGTCTCTACTTTCAAGCGATGCTTGTGTAGAACAAGTAACCCAACGTTCCACACCTGAATCTTTTGTTGACAGTTTCCATTTACTTTCACCTAATTGTGATTTGATCAACAAAAACTCAAGGAGAAGAACTAAGAAACCAGTTGCAAAAACAAAACTAGTTTTTCCAAAGAAAAGTAGTGTTTTGGCTTCACCTGATGGTAATGGCACATCAGCAGGCTCATGTAGAGTGCAAAGGAATGGCAAATATTCCGAAGGAGAAAGTCCACGGGCTTTGGACCATGCGACACAAGAGCTTAAAGTTTATAATACCATAAGCAAAACAAATGTAAATTTGCCACCCCCAGGACAGGTATCCAGCTCTGTTAAAGAATGTGATTTTGCAGAAATGACCTCCATGTTGAATGTACATCATAAAAGTAATGTCTCACCTTTGAAACAAAAATGTTTCCCTGCAAGTAAGAAAAATCAGATTAGCTCAAAGAAAAATGATGACTTGTGTAAACACCAATTTGATCATGTAAAGCCTACAAGAAATGAATTCTTTGAAGCAAGACAATTTTCAAGTGGTTCCCCTCATAGTTATCCCATGAAGGAGGTGTATGAGGATTTCTTTTCTCCTGTCAATTTGAATGGTCAAAGGAAGTCAAGACTACCATTAGGTGTGTTTCCACCTGAATCGCCAAGTCCTCCCAAATTAAATTTTGTAGATGTTAAGCAGAAGAGAAAGTCACAAGAAACTAATCAGCAAAGTTCTATAGCTAGAACAAAAAGAACGAAGGGTATTACAAATTTCAATACTGCAGAGCAATTGAATACTGTTTTTTGTAATTCTGATGAATCTTTGAATATAATTACAGTAGTTGACAATAATAACCCTCACAAACAAAATGATGCACAACATCCGGCAGCTACTAGAATTCATAACCGAAGGAAGTCTCATATAAAACAACTACTTGATCGTTTTCTTGATGAATCGGAGGAATTGTCAAGCGACGAATTGCCTTTGAACAAAGTATCACATTTTCCCGACGGTAATGGAGAAGGAAAATTGGATTTACGTCCAAATGATTCTCCTCCAACATATTTTTATGATCATAGAAAAGGAGTAAATCATTCAACAACTTTACACACTGAAACAAAAAACAACTCTCTTGATTCTCTAAAGTTTACCGATCAGTTGAATAAGGAGCAAAATGAAATGGAAAAAGTACAGTACCACCAAGAGAATATGTTATCTCAGGACATCTTAACCACTGGCAGCAATAAGGAAGATAAGCATCTTAGTGAACCCTGCCAAAGTACGTGATTGGTTTGATTACATTTTGTGAAAGCAATCAAATTATTCCTTATTTATGCTGTTATTGCTATCGTGTGGTAAAGTCTGCTTGCCAAATAGTGGAGAATTCTTCAATCAGAATGTAGTCATATTTATTAAATCAAAACTGATTCTTTACTGTGGCTGAAATAGTGGACAATCTACTTGTAAATCTTTGCCAACACAAATCTTAAAGAATGAAAAGACCCATCATTGTATGCGTGGTCACCCTGAAAAAGAGCAGATTATTTTGTTATATATTTATTTTTCCGTTTTTTTTCACTCATATTTAGTTAAGGGCTATCATAATGAGATGATCTACACATATTTGGACCAAATAATTGTCTTTATAGTTCCTCTTCAACATTGTAACTGCTTTTATACTAAAAGTTGCTTTTGAAATAAGTGTACATTTATTTGTAGACTTGTTTTTAAAAAAGGATGTTTAGAATACGGATAAGGAATTCAAAATGAAAAATCGTTTGTTTGAAGTAGGAAGTACAAACCTCAGCAGTGAATAATCAGCTGAAAAAAATTGACAAAGATTTAAACATTTTACAAATCAATTCATGAAATATAAGCCAAAGCAAAATATCCATCTGATGTAGTCAGCCAGATCAAGCCAAATTGTAGTTTTTCCTCTATTATTTCAGTATAATCCCTGTCGTTAGCTGCCTGTGAAGGTTTATAATTCTCCCTGTGCTCTCTTCTGTTAAAGCTGTTTTGGATAATTCATGGATCTCCGGATAATTGGAAGATATATAGGGTAATCGAGACTGACTTTACAATAGCCGTGCAAAGATTTACCGTAAAACACCCGGCTTGTTGCCTATTCAAGCAACTGCCAGCAGAGGTCACTGAATAGTGAATCAGTTTACGCAGTTTTATTGTTTTACACTTTGTCCATCTCAGTTCTAGCATACTGAAAAAAAGTTTTTAAAAGCTAAGTTGAGAAATCATATTATTCTACAAATGGCATCTGGACTTTGTTTTTGCTCAATTTGAGATCAATTTTATTTCAGGCGTGTAATATTTTAGTTGTAATATGTACCTCAAAGTAAGCAGGGTCTTATTTGTTTCACCCTACAGTTGTGTTGTAATTTTATATACTGTGAATAGCAGCCTGTTTTGCCTTCATCCACATTTGCTTGGCCCCATTTGCCCTTTGTCCCTCCACACTGAACTTTTGCTGTTCTATTCCGTTATCAGCTACCTTTACTCTTTGTTAGCCAAGCAAATGAATTAAAACAATTACAGCACTTATTTGAAAGCACAAAATTCCCAGAGAGGCTGGCAGTCCACTGTAAACTTCTGCCACTGATGTCCATATGGTGATGACACTACCACACTTTAATTGGTTTGAGAGGTTCAAAATGTTGACCTGATAAAGATGGAGTGCTAAAATATTTCCAGGTTATGTTGGTTAACTTGAAGGCCTTGGAGATGGTACATTCAGTGCTGTTTCTTCTCCCTCTTATTGTATCATGTGAGATCAGCGTTGGGGAATATTGAAAGGTTGTACTATATCAATTAATAAATTGTCTGTAAAAACACTTTGAAAATTGTGTGCATGTAAATTATAACTTAAAACGTAGTCGACGTACTCGGCATACAAAGTGCATCTCAGATCCCATGGAATGGGAAGGAACCCAGAAAAATGGGCATTTTCAATTTTTGTGGGTGGCTGATGTTTGAGTAATGCTTAGCAGAAGGAAAAGTTGTTTTGATTTCAATCAGAAGCAGGTTGGTAGTCTGCTTTGAATTCAGAATTAATGGATTTCTTTTTTTGCTTGGAGTATTCTTTGAAGATGATGTTTGAATGTGAATAATTCAAGTTTTCAATTGCACGATCAAAAATGAATGGAAATGCAATTTTTTTTTTAAACTTTTCATAAGTAGTTGCTGACAGCTTTTCTTAAACTAAGCAGTAATTCTTATTTTCTTGTTTTACATCTCTTATATTATATACTTCTGCATTACCTATACAGGGAGTAGTTTTAGCTAGTGAAGATCCAAACTCTGTGTCAGATAGAGGTATTTGGAATTCTTCTTTTATTGAGTACCGCTGGGTGGGGAGGAGGGGAGAAAATAAAAGGTTATAGAAATTAATTTACCAACCCCAATCAAATATAGATTAAAAACAATGAATTCTGCCTTGGATCTAAAAATAATACACCTGTAGGTGGTGCTATAACAGCAATATTCCATCTTTAATGGATTACAACAAGAGCATATTTGACAGCTCTTCACTGAATGAACAGGTAGCCTGCGCATCAAATCTTCAGCTAAACAACGTGGTACTCCAAATCAATGAAGTAACATCATTTAACTCTGCCACTGCTTCAGCTCATCCACTGCTGAAATTCTTATCTCACCACATGAATTGAATATCCCAAAGAACTGCCTGATCTCTCTCGTTGTACTTTCTGTAAAGTTAAGGTCATTCAAAGTGCTGCTGTCTGGTCCTTATCTATGCCAAATCCCACTTGCTTATTGTTCCTTGGTTTGTTGATCTACATTGATTTCAGGTCGAGCAGCATCTACATTTTAGAACTGTTGTTATTTTGATACTCCATGTCTTTTTCCTAACTTCCCCCATTTGCCCAATCTCTGTAATCTCCTCTAGCCTCAGCCCCCCTGAGTTATTTAACTCCTCTAATTCTGGTCTATTTTACGTACATGAAAACCTTAGTTCTTTTCCCAAACTTTTGGCAATCTACCCTGATGTTACATTATTTGAATGGATGTTAAATTTTGCTTTATAATACCCTTGTGAAATGATTTAGGATGTTATCTTATTTAAGGGCATAATAAATAAAGTGGTTGCTCTTTGTCTCCAATTAGTGCTGTGCCACTTCCCCCCCTCGCCTTTCTTTCTGCCTATGTATTTATTCCAATCTACCTGCTCGCTGCAAAGCCCTTCTCTCACCCTCTGTCCTCTGCAACCCACTCTATATTCACTGTTTCTCTTTACATGCTGCAGTGCTCCAAAGCTGAATTTCAACTCCTTTTACAATATTCTTTCTCCTTTCAGTTTTCCTTTTCCCTCTTCATTCTGTCTCAATTCCTTCTTCTTATTTCACACCGTCTTCTCCACTTTATTCCCGGCTCAACTTAATGGCTTTTCCTCTGTCTGCTGTATGTTTTCTTCCTTATCCTGTCCTTTTCTGTGCACCGCCACGTTGTTTCCATTATTCACATCCTCCAACCTGAAAAGTTCAAATCAGCATTGACACATCTGGCAGTGACACAGGGCATCTGTGAAACTGTGAAAATGGAAATCAGCATTTCATGGTTGTAGGTTTTAGCATCAGATGGTCCACTGGATTCAAATCCTCAGGATTTATGAAAAAAATCATGGTACATGCACACCTTTGAAAAAGTTGTTGCAAGTCCTTTCCATGTAAATTAGATTGATTATTTTAGGAATAAGTTTTTGATTTGTATCTAAATATGAATGGACTTGTACTTATGAAGATCACAGAACATTTTATCAATGCTGTGAAGGAACTTAATCATTTTGCAGTACAGGGGGGTCCCTGATTTATGAATGTGTGACTTACAAACATTCACGTGCAAACGCAATCCCATACAGGGATGTCATTTTTTAAATTTACAACATATGGAAAAATTCCTCTACTTATAAACGACTACTTTATATTGCCCTCCATTACGTTCGGACTTGCATACATCTCAACTTGCAAATGGACTCCAGAAGGAACCTAGGGACTGCCTGTACCAAAAAAAAGAGAAAGCTGGAGGTCCTCAATGGCTCTAGCATCATCAGTGGAGAGAGAAACAGTTGATGGTTCAAACCTGTGACTTTCATTACCAAAAGTTAATTCAGATGCTGCCAGACCTGCCACACATTTCAAGCATTTTTTTTATTTCCGATTACTAGCATCCGCTGTATTTTGTTTTTGCACCCTCTCTATCGCACTGGAAAACATCTACTACCAAAATGTTGACCTATACTTTCTTTAGAGGTGTAGATGGCCCTCATCTTCAAAGTTTCCTGGCTTTATTCATATTTGCTGTACATTGTGCTAATTTGTGCAAATAAAACTGTTTGATCAATCTGAAATATAGTTTCCAGACAAATTCAGATTTACTTTTCTGACAGCATATTACACAGGTCTGAATTAATTTAAGTTAGACTTGTTCTTTTCCAGGTCATAATAAGAAATACAATACAACTGAGCTAACTTATACTACAATTGGATGCAAAGGGAAGACTAAAAAGGTGAGTGTTTTGCATTCATCTTGATTCCAAAGAATTATGTTTTTCAGTTTAAGTTGTTATGCAGGGTCAAGATTTTCCCTGTCTTTTTGGGTTATAGTTCTTTTAAAACTGATGCTGAGCTCACTTTTTGTTAGCATTGGCTTGCTCTCTAAGAACATTTTTCAGAATGTGCTGACATTTCTTGTTGATGAAATCCTCTTGCTGCTAGTTCTCTTGTTTTGTTCACCAAAATGCCATTGAATCTTTGTGTACAGACAATATTCAAGTACATTGCTTCACAATATCTGTACATTTGAGAAATATGTAATAAACTAAATGGGAACTTGAAATACAAGATTATAGTAATACTTCAACAGTACAAAAAGCTTTGCAGTATGTTTCATTTGTTATTGCAGTGGTCTCAAGTTGACCCATATTTTTGCTGATCGTGGGTTGAGCATGTGTTGTTTTTGTACTTGGATTGTAACAATCTTTAAAATTTTACAAGGATGTTGCCAGGGTTGGAGTGTTGGAGGCTGAGGGGTACCCTTATGCAGGTTTATAAAATCATGAGGGGTATGCATAGTGTGAATATCCCAAGGTCTTTTTTCCAGGGTGGGGGAGTCCAAAACTAGAGGGCATAGGTTTAAGGTGAGGTGGGAAAGATATAAAAGGGAACTAAGGGGCAACTTTTTCACGCAGGTCGTGGTGCGTGTATGGAATGAACTGCCAGAGGAAGTGGAGGAGGCTGGTACAATTACAACATGTAAAAGTCACCTGGATGGATACATGATTAGGAAGGGTTTAGGGACAAAATTAATTTAGGATATTTGGTAGGTATGGATGATTTGCACTGAAGGGGTGTTTCCATACTGTACAACTCCCTGACTCTGTAACTCCTTTACACCAATTTTTTAACAAGTCTCCATTTAAGTATCCATCAGTTTTACTTGTGTCAAGATTTTGATTTGAAACTGTGATGGCCTTCAAGCAGTGGCATTAATTGTATTGCTAAGTATATCGTGAAATTTAATTATGAAAGGCTGAGTTGATGAAAATTTATTTGTAAGCCTCACAGTTAAGCTTGAATCATAAGTTCTTCAAATAGTTGGAAATAATGAGAAGTCAACAGAGACTGGATATCCCACTCCTCACGAGTAAATGTGGACTCAGGCATCCAAAATATCACTGACTGTAAAGGTCCACCTGTCACCTGCAGCTTACATAACAAAGACTTGTTAATTTTCAAGTGACCAATTGTAAATATGCTTATTTTTTGGTGGGTTTGAGATGGGGTAACATTTGTTGCAATAATTAAATCCTGTTAAACATTTCAGAGTGCCTGAATTCTTCTGATTTGTCTTGAAGTAACTCAGTAAACCAAAAATTTAACAGATAAGGTAAAATATTTTCATGACTGTGGTCTTTTGAGATGGTGAAATTCCAACAGTTCTTCTGTGCACACATGAGGATGGCTAATATTAAATTCAGCAACTTGTGCACGACTCTAAGATTTGGGTATTTGGATTATGTACGAAGGGAAGAGACAGTACACTCAGCATTGGCCAAACAGAAATTCTACAAATGTTGGTTTGTCGGTGGCTTGATTTGGCGATAGATGAGCTTCAGAGCCATAGATTTCTGTATCGCAAGTAAACAAAAAGTGTATCACTTTTTTTTTCTCAATTGAATGGGCTATGTTCGCAATCTACTCTGTACCTTACCTGAAAGGCCACAGGAAATCTTTCATCTTTAAACACCGTTGGAATTTTGTAAAGTGTAGAACTCTTTTCCATAGGAGGCATTATAAAAATGCTGGTAGCTGTGGTAGAAACTAATCAATCTACGTAGCATCACAAGCTTCAACTGTGAAGAAGCAATCAGTAGCACACACAAGTGAAACCTGCGTGAAGGTATTTGCACTCATTAAACACAGTTATGATCATGAATACTGGCTGAACTGCTTCTTGGACTTTTGAGAAGAGCCAGGATGCCAACTGTACTGTGCGTGTAACAAATGTAAGTTGTTATTATCCAATGTGAAGAAAATTAAGGAGAGCATTATCAGTTGTTAAAACAGCAACTTAGAGTACATCCTTTGCTGTAAGGAAGTGTAACAAATTTATTTCTTGCTCATGCTTTAGAGTGCCACTTAATCTGTGCATCTTTGTAATTCTACACTTCCATTCATGTAATGCCATTTTATATTGTATTATCAGCAAATTTGGATACGTAGTTTTCTACCCTTGTCGGTATCATTAATAAATATAGGGAATAGTTAAGACTCTCACCCAGATCCTTGCAGGCAACATTTTGCCAATTCGACTAAGCTGTGCATTATCCCTAGTCTCCTGCCCCTTGCATTCAGCCAGTTATTTTGCCATTCATGATACGAGCTTTCAATTTTGTCTCTAATAAGGAACTTTATCTAATAGCCTCTTTATCTACCAAATATCCTGTTTACTATATCAATGTATATATATTGCAAATCCATGCTGACTTTATCTGATCAACTGAAAATGTTTGAGGTGTTCAGTGACATTGTTATTAAACGTTGACTCTAGCAGTTTCCCAGTAGCAGAATTTATATTGTTGTATATGTCACGAGTTCACCTTTCTTAATATTTATTTTGTTAACTCCTTTTGATATATCAAGCAAGATTAGCGTTGGCTTATTGGCAACGTTTTGTGTCCTAGCTTAATGTTGCGGTGATTCGGTATGCTACTTTTTGTGAAAGTGGTTAAAAGACAGGTATTGAGAAAACAACAACACTCTCTCTTCCCCCTCGCATACTCTCCATTTTTTTCTTTCTCTTGCTCGTGCATGCTCTCTCTCCCCACCCCCCAACACACACCTCTCTCTCCTCTTCTCTTCTCCTCTTCCCTCCCATCTGTATCCTCTCTCCTCCCCCAACATCTCTCTCTTCTCCCCCAACATCTCTCTCTTCTCTTCTTCCCCCCTCCCCAATCTCTCTCTTCTCTTCTTCCCCCCCCATCTCCCTCTTCTCTTCTCCGCCCCCCCCCGCCACCATTCCTGACTAACACAAACTCCTCAGTGTAACACTGCAGTCTACAAAATGGTATACATAATGTATACTATTGTTTGTTTCTTATCAAAAATTGTTTTTATTACCAGTCAATAATGTATGGAGAATCATTTCTGAAACACTTTGACAGCTAATAAATTATTGTAACATAGCATTTCTAATGGAAAGGCAATGGCCAGGATACTTCAAGCAGTAATTAATTTTGTTGTTGCAGGGCATGTGGACATTGCTGGCAAGGCTGATATTTGTTGCCCATCCCAAGTTGCTCTTAAAGTGATTAGTTCTCCACACCATTTCAGAGGCCGGTTAAGGGTCAACCACATTGCTGTGGTTTTGGAGTCATGTGTAGGCCAGGCCAAATAAGGATAGCGGATTACTTTCCTTAAAGGATATTAGTGAACCAGATCGACAATAGACTATGGTTACATGGTTGTCACTAGACTAGCTTTGCATTTGTTTTTTTTTTGTTGAATTCCATTCTATTGCATTTATTGAATCCCACTGTGGGATTTGAAACCATATCCTCACAGCATTAATCCTTCCTCACTCGATGCTCAAGATAATGGATCTGTACCACATTGGTTATCTGGATTTAGAATCATACAGTGCTCGCAGCACGGAAAGAGGTCAATCAACCTTTTAAATCAGTACTGCCTCTGTACAAGACCAATTCAGGTAGTCTCATTGTTTCATTTTTTCTCCTTCGCCTTTACTAAGTAAGTAAACATAGAAAAAAACAATATATTGTGATGTAGAAATGATCTGTTCTAACTTTATGAATTTGACAAGAAACGTGTTTTGACTATTCCCAAATTTAATACTGTAGACTTTTAACTGGTGTAGCTGATTTTTTAATTGTCAGAAAAATTGCAAAATGACATTAATGCAGAACCAGATAAACGTGGGATGCACTACAGCAGTTCACTTTGTTATTCATTTTGATATTCCCAGAACTGTAATTCTTTATTTTGCTACATTTTTTTGGTCTAACTTGTAAATCGATTGGTTGCATATCGCTCTTATGAAGGTGGAGTATTTTTGTGTAATAAAATGGCATTTTGTAGCCATCATGTATATGAAACACTGTGGGTTGGTTTTAGATTGATATAATTTATAGCTTATTTTAAACTGTCCAATGATCCAACCTTAGGAAAGGATTTTTTTTATTGCACCAGGGTAACATTATTTCTCATGCCAGTCTCCCTTGTGACCACTAATATGATTAACAATAATAAATAACCAACATCCTGATGGTTAAGTAGAAACTGAACTCATTAGCCATAAAAATATTGTGACTACAAGAGCAGCTCAGAGGCCCAGAATCCTGCACTAGGTATAACTCACCTCTTGACTCCCAAACTCCGTCCACAGTCAACAAAGTACAAGTCAAAAGTGTGGTGGAATGCTCCCACTTGTTTGGATGAATGCAGTTCCAACAACACTCAAGAAGCTTGATGCCATCCAGGATAAAGCAGCCTACTTGATTAGCACCATATCCACACACATTCACTCACTCACTCCATCACCAATGTGCAGTAGTAGCAGTGTGGATTATCTTCAAGATGCAGTGCAGAAATTCTCCAAGACTTCTTAGATAGATAGTACCTTCTAAAGTCATGATCGCATCCATCTTGAAGGATGAGGATAGTAGATGCATAAGAGCACAACTACCTGTCAAGTTTCCCTCCAGGCCATTCACCATCCTGACTTGGAAACATATCACTGTTCCTTCACTGTTGCTGGGTCAAAATTCTGCAACTCTAACAGCAACCTGGGTATACTAAAGGCTAATGGATTGCATGGCTCAAGAAGGTATGCACCTCCATTGCAAGAGCAGTAAGGATGGGCAATAAGTGCTGGTCCAGCCAGCAAAACCCACATACTCTGAATTCATAGAGGAAAAGTATTTTCATGTGGTTCAGAGCCGCACAGCACATTAGCTCTACCCATTCAGGGCATTGGAAAGACCCACCT